TACGTATCGCGTATCATACGANTCGTTTTAGGCTTGTTTCGTAACGTATCGTACGATACGTATCGTGTATCGTACGATACGTATCGTGTATCGTACGATACGTATCGTGTATCGTACAATACTAACAACTATGACAACAATAGCTAGAATCATGTGAATCAAGGCAAACCTTACAACTGGAGAAAAAGTTCGTAGTCCACACCCTTTTTCTGGGTGTAACCTTTTGCCACTAGGCGAGTCTTATATCTTTCTATGGATCCATCCACCTTGCGCTTAATTTTGAGAATCCATTTGTTCCCAATGGCCTTGCGCCCAAGCGGGAAGGTCAACCAAGTCCTAAACTTGATTAGCCTTCACTAACTCCATCTCATCATTCATTGTAGCTATCAACTCATTACTAGCAGGTGATGGTAGAACCTCTTTAATATTTTTTGGTTCGGCATCATCATGTGATTCAACCATGAAAGCTTCCCCTTCAATCTCAAAACGATGTCAAGGGATGGTTCCATGCTTGCTTCTACGTAACCCTATGTCATATGGATCTATATCCATTGGAACTGATCCACCATTGAGTATATTGTTCCCACTGTCCCTAAGAGGTGACAAAACTATTTTCTCGATCTCTATTTGGTTAGTGGGTATATCTCTTTGGGGATCATATAATTCATAGAGTTTTATTCATTTAGACACATCTCCTCTGTTAGGGAAATCCTCTTCAAGAAAAATTGCATCCCGCGACTCAATTTCAGTTACCCTTCCATCAAGCTGTTCACCTGTAAACACATAGCCCTTAGAGTGCTCAGAATAGCAGATGATGATACACTTCTTCCCTCGAGGACCTAACTTCCCATATTTATGAGAAGTATTGTGCACATAAGCCGCTAAACCCCATGGCAGTAAATTATTTAAGTAAGGTTTTGTGCCTTTCCATAACTCATATGGGGTAGAAGGAACTGATTTAGAAGACACTCGATTAAGGATATGAGAAGCAGTCAATAAACCATTTGTCCAATATGAAATCAGAAGATGAGCCTATTCCATCATTGACCTAACTATATCAAGCAAGATGCGATTTCGTCTCTCTGCTACACCATTTTGTTCCGGAGTGCCAGGTATTGTCAATTGCCTAATTATTCTATTTTCTTCACACAGCTCTTTAAACTATTCAGATAGATACTCGCGACCTTGATCTGTTCTAAGAACCATAATGTCATTGTCTCGTTGATTCTCAACCTCTTTAATGTAACATTTTAAGCAATTCAATGCTTCGAACTTGTGAGAAATCAAATAGACATGACCAAAGCGCGTAAAGTCATCTATAAAAGTGATGAAATATGATGCACCATGTCTTGCCTTCACATTCATTGGGCCACATATATCTGAGTGTATTAATTACAATGGAAAATATGCTCTTTTGGCCTTACCAAATAGTTTTCTAGTTGCCTTACCTACGAGACAATTTTTACATGTGGACAAGTTGATTTTTGCGAGTGGGCCCAAAAATCCCTCTCTAGCTAATATATACATTCTGTCCTACCCAATATGACCTAATCTAGCATGACATCTAATAGAATCAACACTATCCATAGATGTAACATAAGAATAAGTTTCATTACTACAATAAACAATATCTAATATAATAAAACCTTTTGTGGTATAACCAGATCCATAGAATGTAGTTCCCTTATAAATGCCAACATGCTTGCCTTCAAAACGAAAAATAAAACCTAGTCTCATTAAGCTAGTAACTGAAAACAAATTTCTTCGGATTCTGGGAGCATATAATACATCATGAAGGTTTAGACTGTGCTCGTGTTGCAATTCCAGTTTGTATGTGCCAATCCTAAGCACATCTATACTGGTCTCGTTCCCCATGTAAATTCGTTTGCTTCCAGTTGGAACTCGACTGTACTCCACAAATTCAAATTTGTGTCTTGTTATGTGCTCTGTTGCTCCTAAATCTACCATCCACGAATTATGAGAGTGAGAAACAAAAAATTGACTAGTAACTAAACAGTCAATGCAAGAGACAGAATTAAAGACTACCTTCTTCGGCTCAGTGCATTCACGAGCGAAGTGACCTTTCTTGTTGCTGTTATAGCAGATCATGTTGGTTTTATTCTTCTTACTAGCTCTTTTCCCTTGTTTGTGCTTGTTATAACTAGAGTGACCAGCCCTAGTTTGAGAATTAGACTTATTTCCACTGCGCTTGGACCCGAAGGTTTTGTGTGAGCCAACTTTAGCCACATAAGAGCTACTCTCACCTTTGGTAGACTCCAAGTGCTCAGCCTCAAGCTCAAGGTGACACGATATATTCTCGAATGTTTTCACACTCTCATTATGCATTATGTTTCGTTTCATATGCTCCCATGATGGTGGAAGGGAGCGAAGTACAACTTGAACTTGTTGTTCATTGGTCAACACATGACTAGCAGCACCTACATCACATATCATAGATGTCATAGCCCTCAGATGTTGTTTTATTGTATGCTCTAGCTTCTTTTGATACGATTCAAACCTCATGGTCAAACCATGAAGTCTAACAAGAGAAGTAATACCAAACTTCTCTTTGAGGGCCTTCTACATGGCGTGAGCTGTGGAGTAATTCTCAAATTTAGGAATAAGGTCATCTTGCATGGTATAACGCGCAAGTCAATCATTTTTCTGTCAAGACTGGTAATTCTCTTGTTCTTGGCAGGTTTGAGGTCGCTCAGGCTCTGGCAGCACAGAGTCAAGGGTATCCAAGACTTGTTGCTCATACAGGACAAATTGAATCCTACGACGTCATATATCATAGTTATCGCCATTCAATTTGTCGCCCTTAGTTAATTCAGCCACTATGCTTTTAGTAGTCATTATGATTTAATCTACATACAGAGATAATGCGTATGGGATATTAGCACAACACATTCTATAATTTTGTCACAAAAATCTAAATTCAAGTATTAACAACTTTCACAAGTCGCGAGATCGAAAGTTCACTAAGTTCCCAATCATCTCCCGCACCACAAGTGATTATTAATAATACTTATTTAATTAATGTGCAGAATTTCAGTTTCCTAATACCAAACAAAATAAACTCCTACTAGATCTAGTATCTCTAGGCATACTGATCATCTCTAATTTCATATCACACATGTTTCGACTTTAAAAAAAATATGCAATTTAAATAATACTAGATATGAAATTCTAATTTAAATCATACTAAACAACGAAATAAATACACCTAGCATATCCATCATGCTAATATATTCTACATAGAATACCAATAAAATAAATAATAAATCATGCATTTATTTCATTTTCAGAATTTTAGGCAAATAAAATTTGATCCCATAAACTATCATTAATGGTCCACAAACTATTTGGAAAAGCATTCCTAGAGTCATGTAGACCAAGCCAAATGACCAAAAAGGCTTGGGTGGAAATAGCAACCTCTAACAATAGGCATATCTCCAAGATAAATTCTTACTCAAAAAATTCAAATCATTTGACAAAAAAAATCTTAGAAATAATTGTTAACTGCTACTAGTAAATATTTTTTTGTCTTTATCAACATCACATGACATCTTTCCATAACTCAAGAATATTTCAAGTTAAAGTTTTCCCATCCCTTTTTTTCCTTCCTGCATGGTGTACTTCACCATTCCAGGAACCGAAAATGAAACAAAAACAAATTCCTCAAAGTGTAAGGTGTTAAGAATGCTAGGGTAGTATGTGTAAATTGTTAATAGTAAGAGGGTGTATGTATAATTCTTATTATTGTGAGTTAACTATAAATACAAGTGATGTATGAGAGCTAGGTTAAGTTTTTGACCTCTCTCTGTTACTCCCTAATATTGTGTTAATCCTCCACATTTAACATGGTATTAGAGCAATTACAATCCTAAATATATTTTGAATAAATTAAGTTACGATGGTGGTGGTGATACAGTTGTTGTAGTTGATCTCTACTACAATGGTGGTGGTGATCTGTGTTGTTGTGTTGTTGTGGTGGTGGTGATCTGTGTTGTTCGTCGGACCTGTGTTGATTTGTGGTGTTGACTTCGTCGTCGTGGGTAACATCTTGGTGGTCTGTCATTCATTGTGGTGGTTAAGGCATAGCATAGTGATTCGTCGTTCGTTGTGGTGGTCAAGGAACAACATGGTGTTCGTTCATTGTAGTGGTGTGAAGGCACAGTCGAAGTTTAGGGTTTACTGAAACCCTAAACAACGAAGAAGAAGAAGTCCAGACCCATAAAAGGTCAAGACCCGACTTCGGTTCAAATCCAATCAGACCTGATCAATCCCGGTTCGATCCCGATTCAGCTAGCTTCAAACTGGCTCAAACTGGTTCCGTCATTGGTCCCTCTGGTTCGGCAGTCCAGTAAGGTCCTATGACCCACTTCAGACATTATTGCACCGGTTCATACTGATTTAGTCAATTTTTACTTTGATTTAGTGGTCCAGCGAGCCTAGTCTGCCCGGTTCAGTCTTCCAACAACCTTAACAAGTCCGGTTCAGTCTTCTAGCCTTCTCTTTTCTTTTGGTTCANTCCTCAAAGTGTAAGGTGTTAAGAATGCTAAGGTAGTATGTGTAAATTGTTAATAGTAAGAGGGTGTATGTATAATTCTTATTATTGTGAGTTAACTATAAATACAAGTGATGTATGAGAGCTAGGTTAAGTTTTTGACCTCTCTCTGTTACTCCCTAATATTGTGTTAATCCTCCACATTTAACATGGTATTAGAGCAATTACAATCCTAAATATATTTTGAATAAATTAAGTTACGATGGTGGTGGTGATACAGTTGTTGTAGTTGATCTCTACTACAATGGTGGTGGTGATATGTGTTGTTGTGTTGTTGTGGTGGTGGTGATCTGTGTTGTTCGTCGGACCTGTGTTGATTTGTGGTGTTGACTTCGTCGTCGTGGGTAACATCTTGGTGGTCTGTCATTCATTGTGGTGGTTAAGGCATAGCATAGTGATTCGTCGTTCGTTGTGGTGGTCAAGGAACAACATGGTGTTCGTTCATTGTAGTGGTGTGAAGGCACAGTCGAAGTTTAGGGTTTACTGAAACCCTAAACAACGAAGAAGAAGAAGTCCAGACCCATAAAAGGTCAAGACCCGACTTCGGTTCAAATCCAATCAGACCTGATCAATCCCGGTTCGATCCCGATTCAGCTAGCTTCAAACTGGCTCAAACTGGTTCCGTCATTGGTCCCTCTGGTTCGGCAGTCCAGTAAGGTCCTATGACCCACTTCAGACATTATTGCACCGGTTCATACTGATTTAGTCAATTTTTACTTTGATTTAGTGGTCCAGCGAGCCTAGTCTGCCCGGTTCAGTCTTCCAACAACCTTAACAAGTCCGGTTCAGTCTTCTAGCCTTCTCTTTTCTTTTGGTTCAGCATTGCAGCACTCTGTGTTTGCTATTTGCTACACTGTTATGGAACCCAAATAAGATACCAGGTCCTTTACTCCATCTTTGCCACCTCAGGCTATTATCAATTGCCCATGACCTTTGTTAAACTCAATGGGACCAATTATACTTTATGGTCCTGATCCGTTCAAGTCTTTCTTCAAGGCAAATGATTTAAGACATATTTTGTGGATCCTAAACCCAAGGAAGATACTCCTGGGTATGATCAATGGGAACAAAAGGACGCTCAAATTATTTCTTTACTATTGAATAACATTGAGCCTAATATTAGTTCTACTCTAGTATACCTTGACACTGCCAAGGAGATATGGGATCACTTTGCCACTATGTATTCTAGTGTAGGTAATTTTACCCAAGCTTATGAGATGTGTAAGGAGTACTTCCGACTGGAACAGAGTAATCTGAGTATTGAGGATTATTATTCTCACGTTCGGGGAGTCTGTGAGGAGATGAAGACCTACCATCCATTTACAACTGATGCAGCAGTTTGGCAGAAGCAACATGAGGACATGAATGTTGTTAGGTTTTTGGTAGGATTGAAACCTAAATGAGGCTATTCATTCTCAGATTTTGGGTGGTTCTAGTCTTCCTTCACTACTTGAGGTTTTCTCTCGTATACAGCGTGCTACTTTGCATACTGCAGGCATCGATCATGGTGTCTCCACTGATCGCTCAGCTCTTGTGGTTCCTAGTAGCCATAGTGATGGTCATCGAGGTGGTCGTGGTGGTCAAGGAGATCGTACAAGAAGTCATACGCATGGTCGTGGGGGCCGTAGTGGACCTCATTGTTGTACTCATTGTGGCTGTGGAGGACACACTGTTGATTTCTGTTGGGATTTATATGAAAAACCTTCTGGTGTTGTGAATCAAGCTTCCTATCAGGATGACACCTCTGTTGTTGCTTCCGTACCTCGGTCAGCTCCACCAGACACTAGGTCGGTTACTATTACATGAAAGAAGTATGCTCAATTTCTGTCCTAGCAACATGTTATCCTATCTCCCTCCACTGCTACTTTTGCCCAATCAGGTACTATTTTCACTTGTTTATTGTCCTCCACTAGCAGTCCCTGGATCATATACTCTGACACTTCTAACCACATGACTGGTGCGTCTGATGTTTTTTTTACTTATCAGTCTACTACTTTCACACATAGTATTACTCTTGCTAATGGTACTTGTTCTAAAGTTTCAGGCCAGGGGACTACTCACTTGAGTCTTGATATGTCCCTATATTCTATGTTATTTGTTCCTCAATTTCCTTTTAGTTTACTTTTCATTAGCAAGATTATATGTTCTCTCAATTGTTCTATAACCTTTTATCCCTCTTATTGTGTCTTTCAGGATCTCAAGACGAAAAGAAAGATTGGTACGGGGCATGAAGCTGGTGGCCTATATTACCTTGACATTGATTCACCTACCTGGGCTCTACAGACCTCATTGTCGCCTTTCAATAGCATCGTCATCTTGGACATCCCTCTCTCTAGAATCTGAAGTGCCAAGTTCCTAGTCTTAGTTATGTGACGCCTTTGTCTTGTGAAGTTTGTCAACTTAGTAAGCATCATCGTGTGTCATTTCAGTCTAGAGTCAATAATTGTGTGTCTAGTCCATTTGAGTTAGTACATTTTGATGTATAAGGTCCAATAAAGAATATTTTATCTAATAAATATCATTATTTTGTGACATTTGTAGATGACTGTTCTCGTGTGACTTAGTTATTTTTTATGAAAGCTCAGTCTAAATTATTCTCTACATTTGCGACCTTTCGTAAGAAAATAAAAACTCAGTATGGTTGTCGTATATGTACTTTATGTTCTGATAATGCTCGAGAATATGAATTTGATCATTTTTCAGCTTATCTTAGTAAAACTGACATTATTCATCAAACTTCTTGTACTTACAACTCTCCACAGAATGGTGTTACTGAACGCAAGAACCGTCATTTGTTGGAAGTCACTCGTGCCCTATTATTCCGTATGAATATTCTCCGATATTTTTGGAGTGATGTTGTTCTTACTGCTTGTCACCTTATTAATCGTATGTTATTCTCTGTGTTAAATGAACAAAGTTCATATTCTGTTCTTTTTTCTGGTAAACCCTTATTTTTCCTGACTCCTAAAATTTTTGGATGTGTCTGTTATGTTCACAATTTGGACTATGAGTTTGACAAACTTGACCCTCAAACTACCAAATGTGTATTTCTTGGTTACTCTAACACGTAGAAGGGGTATCGTTGCTACAGTCCTTATCTACGCCAATACTTTACTAGTGTTGATGTCACATTTGAGAAATCTGTTCCATATTTTTCATCACCTTCTCAGCCTTTGGATTTAGACTTTGGGTCATCTCCTGTACCACCATCTCTTTCCTCATCTTTAGATATTTCGTTGTCCACTGTATTACCATCTACTTTATCTCTTCGTGTCTACTCTCACCGTCCTCGCCCATCGACTGAGGTTCCCGTACTGTCTTCCTTGTCGCTTTTTGATCCTGCTACATTAGGTAATTTAGACTCTTTACATATTTCTATTTGAAAAGGTACTCGTTTGTGTGTTACTAATCATCCCATTGCTCATTTTGTTTCATATGATGCCTTGTCTCCTGTCTTCTCTTGTTTTACTTCCTAATTATCTATTATATCCATTCCTAATCAATTATAGGATGCATTATCTGATCCGGGTTGGCAAAAAGCTATAGAGGAGGAGATGGATGTCTTACATCATAATGGGACTTGGGATCTCATTCTTTTATCTTCTGGTAAACAAACTGTTGGTTGTTGGTGGGTGTATACTGTTAAATTTTATCCGAATAATTCTATGGAGCGTCTCAAAGCCTAGCTTGTTGCAAAATAATTTACTCAGACTTATGATGTTGATTATGAGGAGACTTTCTCTCCTATTGTCAAAATTTCACCTGTTCGTATTCTGATTTCTTCTGCTACTAATCTTGATTGGTCATTGTTTCAGTTAGATGTCAAGAATGTCTTCCTACATGGTGACTTGGTTGAAGAGGTATACATGGAGCAGTCACCTGGGTTTATTGCTCAGGGGGAATATGGTAAGAGTGTATATCGGTTGAAGAAATCTTTGTATGGTTTGAAGCAGTCACCGAGGGCATGATTTGGTAAGTTTTCAAACGCAGTTTTAGAGTTTGGTCTTCTTCGATGTCAGACAGATCATTCTGTGTTTCATAGACAGACAGATGCAGGATATGTTCTATTGGTAGTCTATGTAGATGATATTGTGATTACTGGAAATGATTCTGAGGGGATTGCTAAGTTAAAAATATTCTTGCAAGATCAATTTCATACTAAGGATTTGAGAAAACTCAAGTATTTCTTGGGTATTTAGGTGACTCAATCTAAACAGAGTATTTGTTTATCCCAGAGGAAATATATACTTGACATGCTGGAGGAAGTAGGTTTGCTGGGTGGTAGACCTATTGATGTTCCTATGGATCCGAATCAGAAATTTTTGATGAATGATGGTGCACTGTTTGAAAATCCGAGTCGGTATCGCAGATTTGTTGGGAAGCTCAATCATCTCACTATTACTCGATCAGATATGTCATATGTAGTCAGTATAGTAAGTCAGTCCATGGGGTATCCTAGAGTACCACATTGGGAGACATTTACTCATATTCTGTGATATCTCAAACGTGCTTCTGGACTTGGACTATTATATCAAGCTAATGGACATCTTAGAGTAGAAGGTTTCTAGGATGTTGATTGGTCTGACTCTCCTTCTGATCGGAGATCAAGGACTGGTTATTGTACTTTTTTAGAAGGTAATGTTGTCTCGTAAAAAAGTAAGAAAAAATTCATGGTAGCAAGATCCAGTGCTGAGGCTGAGTATAGGACAATGACACATATGACAAGTGAGTTGACTTGACTACTACACTTCCTCTAGGAAATTGGGTTTTCAATTCAACTTCCTTTACAGTTGTTCTGTGACAACTAGACAACTATCCATATTGTTGCTAATCCAGTGTTTCACGAGAGAACCAAACATATTGAGATTGATTATCACTTTATTCGGGACAAGATAGTAGCTGGGAAGATTACAACTCTATTTGTGAAATCTGAAGATCAACTTGCAAATATATTTACCAAAGCATTGAGTCGTACACGTCTTACAGCAATTTGTTCCAAACTTGAATTATATAATATATATAGTCTAGCTTGAGGGGAGTGTTAAGAATATTAGGGTAGTGTGTGTAAATTGTTAATAGTAAGAGGGTGTATGTATAATTCTTATTATTGTGAGTTAACTATAAATACAAGTTATGTATGAGAGTTATGTTAAGTTTATGACCTCTCTCTGTTCTCTAATATTGTGTTAATCCTCTACACTTAACATAAGGAAACAAACCGTATGGTCAAAATATGTCGACTTTTGAACATGTGTGTCACATAGTTTGAAATCAAGAATTCTTTCACAATTTCATTACCGTGTTGCTAGCATCATATTTGTGAACACAGTGATCAAAGTTGGTGATTCTTGTTTCGGGCCAAATTTGAGAGTTTCAGCTTTAAAAAAAACAATTAAGGCCAACACTTTAAAAAAAACGAGAACATCCTAAAATGCTCTGATACAAATGTTAGAAATCGTATACATATTGCGGAAACATAAGATCAAAGACATACCTTGTTAGCTTTAATCTTAAAATCCGTTTGAAGATGTTCCACGTACTTTAGAATCTGAAAATCGTCTTTTATCCTATTGCTCGAGAAGTTGGTGTTGTTACACAATAGGAATCAACATCGAGTTTCCATAGCACAAAAACCTTTCAACGTTATGTAGGGAGAGAGAGAGAGAGAGAGTATGAGACTTTAACGTTTGATTATTTATCAAAGATATCTCATCTATTGGATTGTCTTGTGTTTATATACGCAACCAATAGGTGTCATTAAGAGACATATCCTATAGGGACATGTCTGTTAATATTTAACAGACATGTATTTTAGGTGGTAAAGGATACCTCTTGATAAATGATACCTCCAAAAGACATGCCTCTTTGGGCACTCTTTAATTTGGGTCAACCCACCATGGGTGCCCGGTTCAGGTCCATGACCCAAACAATATCTAACACTTTTTGATATCTAAAATACAAAACCTTGTTAAAAATACTCTTAGGACTTTTTTGGATGAATTTTGGGGAGGGGTTTGGATTAGCTTCTCAAAACCCTTCCAAACTCAAATCCCTCTTTATAAAGATGGGATTCAACATTCAATCTAGTCTATACCCACGTTTGGTATGCAATACATACACATGTAGCACCTACGAATATATCATAATTATTAACAACAATTTGTCTAGTAAATAACTATTTTACCTTTGATCAATTCAATTCATACACATGTTAAAAGGTACAATTGTCTTTTGCATCCTTAACCCCTTACCCATCTTCCCAAACCCATCCCTCCACTAGGTTTGACGAAACCTAAGATCATGAATTCAATCTTTATGCTAGGTTTGAGAACCCAAAATTGAACTTTCAATCCAAACATAGGATTTGGGGATCATTTGAATTATTTTTTCCAAACCCATCTTATCAAACCCCCTCATACACCCTAACCAAAAAACCCCCTTAGTCGCACATTAGATACAATTTGGATAGATGGAGAGTGCACAGGTTCAATCCTATTATCTTTTTCCATTTTTCCTCTTTGAACCTAGACAAAATAGAAGTCAAAGCGCACTCTATTTTCGATATCTTTATTTGTGTGTCAAGACTCATTTTCCATGATGTGAACCCCAATTTCATAACTATACCCAAGTGAAAATAATTAGGACCACAAGTCAAGACCACAAAATAGAGTTGAATACAGATGCACAAATCAAATCAAATGTTGGAATTATTTTTTTATCAATCCATATTAGAAAAAGAAGCCACTCAAAATGTGAAACAAGAAGTTATAGTTATAGAAGGGCAAATTACAAATTGACCCTTTCAA